ATGGGATAACGGAATGGGATAATGGAATGGGATAGCGGAATGGGATAATGGAATGGGATAACCGGAATGGGATAACGGAATGGGATAATGGAATGGGATAACAGGAACGGGATAATGGGGAATGGTATAACGGAATGGTATAACGGAATGGGATAACGGAATGGGATAATGGAATGGGATAATGGAATGGGATAATGGAATGGGATAACAGGAATGGGATAACGGAATGGGATAACGGAACGGGATAACAGCAGGGAAAACACAGAACCCAGCACACCCGGGAAGCTCCAGGTGAAGCCGAGTTCCCCCAGGGGTCACCAGGAGGGTCATTCCTACTTCCCAACATTCCCAGAATTCCCTTTTGGAAGGAGTGGCCCCTCCACCCTGAGGGCTCTTTGGAAAATTCCCTTTTTTTGTAACGGATTTGGGCCATTCCAGGCCCAATCCTGAGGTTTCGGGAGCAGCTGGGTAGGGATGAATCCAACGCCAGAGGCTCCAATCCATCGGCACTTCCCATCTTTTTATTCCCAATCCATGTTTTTTTTACCCAAACCCTCGGATCCCAGGGATGAAGGAGCCTTTGGATGCTCCAAGCCCTGCTCCCAGCAAATCCCGACTTCCACAGAAAAGGAATGATTCCAGGGAAGCTTTTCCCTCACAGAAAATCGGGAAGAGGTTCAGAACTCCCCCCTGTGGCTGCTCTTTAATCAATTTACAATTAATTAAATCCCATTAATTGGCTCCCAGCGCTGGATCATTTGGGAAGGGGGACGGGCACAATCCCAAAATTCCGATTTTAAGGGAATTCGGTGGCTCAGGATTGAGCCAGGGGTTGCTTCCTGCAGCTTTTCCGGAGAAAACCCGGAATTCTGCCCGAAAACCGCCCCAATTCCACCGGATTCCTGGCTCTTTCCAACCCCCTAGTGATGAAAACGAGGAATTTCCCAGTCCAGGAATTCCTGGAAAAGAGGGATGGCAGCAGGATGGGACCTCAGCCTGAGCCAAATCCCGGGAAAATGACCCCAAAATCCAGGGAATAAAAGGAATATTCCACCTGAGGGAGGTTGGAGGGGACCAACGCCATTTCCAGCCCCAGAAATGGGAATTTCGGGAAGGCAATTCCCATTCCTTGCGCATCCCACATTGGAGCTTGCAGGACCATTTTGCCAAGGTTTTCCCCCAAAACGAGTTTGTTTGGATCCAGCACGGGAAAACTGGGATTTTCCTGCTCTGGGAATGCCAGGGAAAATGTTGGGAAAACAAAGGAAAAATGGGGATTTATCCCAATGGGATATCCTAAACAGGGATTTATCCCAATGGGATATCCCAAACTGGGATTTTTCCTAAATGTGGATTTATCCTAAATGGGATATCCCAAACCGGGATTGATCCTGATGGAATATCTTAGGTGGGGATTTATCCCAATCCCAACGGGATATCCCAAAGATGGATTTATCCCAATGGGATGTCCCGAACAGGGATTCATTCCCAGGAATGCTCACCGTGGTTCCGGGGGAAGGCGGCCACGTTCCCGTCCTGCAGCCCCGCCAGCAGGAACTCGGGGCTGTTCCGGAGGCACAGGATGGGCGGCATTCCCGGGATCTGGCAGCGCAGCAGGCACGGCGTTCCCGAATCCACGCTGCCGTACACCAGCAGGCTGGGAAGCATTGGGGCCGGAATTCCGGGATCAGCCCCGGAACGGCTGGGATTCGAGGATCCCAGGATCCCGTTGAGGGAACGGAGCTGGGATTTGGGATGGGAGCTGGGATTTGGGATCCAGGCTGGGATTCAGGATGGGAGCTGGGATTTGGGATCGGAGATGTGATTTGGGACCAGGGCCAGAATTTGGGATTGGAGCCAGGGTTTGAGATCAGGGCCGGGATTTGGGATCCAGGCTGGGATTTGGGATGATGGGAGCTGGCAGTCAGGAAGGGAGCTGGGATTTGGGATCGGAGCTAGGGTTTGGGGCCAGGGCCAGGATTTGGGATTGGGGCCGGGATTTGGGATCGGAGCTGGGATTTGGGACCTCACCTCCCGTCCTGCAGCCCCAGGCACACTGCGGGGTGGGGGGCGTTGGGGGCCGGATCCGGGGCCATTCCCTGCTCCCCGGGATCCTCGGGATTCGGCTCCGGGATGAATTCCATGCACAGCACCGGGGCCGGCACCGGG